TACAGGTGTGCAGCAACACATTTCAGTTCTCCTACCATGTTTGCTGTCAGATTTTGATTTCTATTTGCTATTTCATGCTGACTTCGTATGAAATTCATGTGTGGGGAGACCTGCAGGTATAGGGAGCCAAATAAAGATGGTGTATTGAGCCAAGAGCAAACCAAATGCACCCTCTCTGTGTCAAGACACAAGTCGTAGTGGATACAATCACTCAGGGCAGCCATGAAACACTGGGACACTCCCATGTATACTGATAAGAGTGGGGTCATTCCATGTGCGCCAGGACTATAAAGTTAGTCTCTGATCACACACAGTTACCCAAGGTTCCCTGATACATCAGCTCCCACACCCAAGTCAAAGGAAGGAAATAGCAGCCCCGGAAAAATCCTAGCACAAGCAATTGCCTCCCAAGTGGGCCAAGAAATACTAAGTGCCAAACCCCACCCAGCTTTCCCTCACACCCAGCTTCCTGACACCACATGACTGTTAGATTCCCGTACTTCTGATTCTCACAACTAACGACGTAAGCAGTAAAGGAGGAAGAGCAGGCCTGTGGCTCATGGCAGAGCCCTTGTTCAGCAGAGCAAGGCTCTGGGTCCACCAACAAAACAAGGAGGGAGGAAAAACTAACTCATATGCCAGTTTCATCTGGCACAGAAACCCTGTCAAAACTTTGCTCATGTCTTTCCTCCTAGCCCGACAGACATCAAATCTCACAACAATTCTTCTGTCGTGAGTTTAATGGGAAAAAAGTTCAAAGATCTGGAATGGTTTCTCTTAAGTATCTGTTTGAAGGCCTCCCTGTATTTGCTGGAACTTCCCAGCACAAGGGCCGCGCCCCTGGTAGAGCCAAGCACACTGGAGAGGAAAGAGGGGCCAGAGCACTCAGCCCTTGGCTTCTCTCTTAACCCCCACTCCCCACCCCAGATCCCAATGCCCATCCAGGTTGCACCAGCCTGCGTCTCAGGTGTTTCCAGGATCACTCATGACAATGACCAAGGGACATGCGTGATCACCTGCACCTGGGACCCCAGCGCAGCAGCCGGGTCAGCTCTGCGTCGCCCCCATCCCTAGCCAGCTGCCTCCTCTAAGGAAGCTGGCTGATCCCCAAAGGATGCCATGTCACCAGAGGGCCAGGACCACAAGCTACTAAGCCAGCCTCTTCACATGTCGCTGAGGGCGCTCACAACAGAGGGAACCCCAGCTGGGACCACAGGACTCTAGCTGCATGCTACCCGCGCTCTTGTCCCCAGCGCCCCTTGTCCCCAGCCCCAAAGCAAGCCCACAGCATAGCATACCCCTGATTCTGTGTTTCCAGGCCAATAGCGAGAAGAGCAGAGAGGAGGAGGCACCAACCACGCCCAGGGCCTCCAATGCCTGAGGGGCGGGGGAAGC